TATTCTTTATTTAAATATTTATCCTAATTAATAAGTTAGCCATTACAGATGCGAATCGTCCTTGGCACCGTCAACTAGCCTCCTCCACCTAACCCAATCAGTAGCTTGCTATCGCTAGTTTGTAGTACCAAGTGCCTTCATATCGCTATTTACTTGCTCTTTTCACCGAAGAACGGACATTATGCACTAGCGAGTGCCAAATCACACACCTCTCTATTTTTTTCTATATTTATTTTAATCGCTCCCTTTTTTCTCCGCATGTAAACGTCAATATCACTTTATATGTACATCTCTCTACATATGTGATTTTCTGTTTCTCTATGAATCACTTCCATTTATAGCTCAATATAATTTCGTATGTATACCTGCATATCTCTCGTTATATGTGTATCTCTGTTTGTCCTTTTCGATAATTACTTCTCTATCTTTTTTTGTCTCTGTATTAAAACTTTTATCTCTTTCGCTTTCTTTCACTCTATTTTTTCTATCTCCCTTTCTTTCACTCTCTACTTGCTTTTCTACTTTTTTTCTGCTTACCTGCATTCTTCCTCTCTTTCAGTATACTTTCTCCAATTCTTTCTCTCACGATCTTTCTTTCTCTCACATTTTTCCTTTCTTCACCTTCTCGTTCTCACTACCTTTCTCTGACGTACAGGCGCACAAACATTCTTTATGTCACCCTTTTTTCTCGTAATCCCATATTCTATCAATTTACTGTAAAGTATCCAAGACATATATTAGAGTTACAGGAATGACATTAGCTATATGGGCGCTAACATCCGGTGGATATGAAAAGTCTTTTACGTTAAGAATGAAAATGTGGTAAATTTTCAACTACTAAATTGAAGCAAAAAGTTAGAATTTTATTATTATGTTTCGTTAAGTTAAAGCCACAATTTCATTTTGAAACTCCTACTGAACGGAAATAATTACGAAAGACAGAAGGCTTGAATTACTCAACAGTAAACTTCCGCACGAATTTTAGTATAAAAAGAGTAGCGCATAAAAGCATTTAACTAACTTTTTTTTCAACAACTAAAAGCATATTTTCAGGCGTTTAAAATTGCATAAAACCCGACAATGAAATTAAGTATTTTTTATGTCAAACTGCCACCAGTTATTATAAATACTATTGCAAAATTATCATAAAAAATTATAATAAATAAATAGAAATATTAAAAAATTAAAATTATGAAATGTAAAAGGAACTCAAAACTTTTCCAAACAATAAAACCCAACAGCGTCACCGTTCACCGCGTCATTAACCCAACTAAAAAATACATAAAACGAAAAATAAAAAAATAATACTGAAAAAAAAAAATAACAATAAATAAAGAAAACTGCATTATACAAAAGATGCAGAAAATACTGCATTATAATTGAAATATGATATTTTTCAGTTATTGTTTTATTTTCATTATAGTTCGGTTCGGTTTGGTTTGGTTTGGTTTCAAGTTGTGGCTTTCCGATTTTCCAATTCTATTTTTTTTTATTTAATTTTTTTTTTTTTGCATATTAATATATTTCCTTTTTTAGAATTAATTTAATGTTGCATTTTATTTATGTTGCTGGAAAAATGGAGAAATGAAATAAAAAAAAAAGAAAAGCTAGTTCATGACTCCAAGTCAAGCAGAATATAAGACCACAAAAATATTCCTCTCAACCACACACTATTTCTCTACAGCCCCAATACGCTAGGTAGGTAGGTAGGTCGGTTGTATTGTGACTCTTGGCAACACAATAGGTTGCAGCAGGAGCAAGCGTCATTGCCAGCAGCTGGCTCACTTCAGCAGGATGCAAAATGCAGGCGTTATACTATGATATAAAGAATCATTTTTATAAAGAATCATTTTTATGCTCGAAGAAAATGTCATTAAAATTTATGAAAACAATGCGGCGGGCGAATTCCATGATATGACATTGTGGCTGCGAGCTGTCAGCATGGCGGACCAAGGCAAGTAGGTGGATTGGGTGTGCTTGGATAAAAAGCAGCAAAATGCATAATGTACTGCAAAAATCAGGAAATCATAATTGAAAATTTTTAGAAAATTAGGTTTGAGGAGAATTTTATTCACGTGTTTATGTAGAAAATATTCATTACTCATTTTAACTGAGTTTATCTGAGGATAAACTACAATATTTTTTTTTTTCGTCCCCATTCTATAAATTAAAATGTATTTTATATTCCATCTATAAAATTAATTTAATAAATATAATGTTTAAAATTTTAAAAGAAAATTATTTTTCTTTTAAATTCTGATTAAAAGTGCATGTAGCATTTAAATACCTATAGTGTTTGGCTTGCTATTAATTTTAATAAAAGCACTTTACTTTAATATAAGTACAAAATATATATAACTTGTAAGGACTGGAGGCTATATAATTTTATATCTTAAATTTGAGTAAATTTTCACCTACTTAATTAATCAAATTTAATACAATTATTAACAATTATTTGTTATTTTACCTAATGGTTACTATACTTGGGGTGGAAGAATAAAATATAAACACATCCTCAAAGAACTACATCCTTGAACACTTATTACGCCTGATGATGACTCTGGTTAGCCTAATGATACCCCAGCAAACCGCAACGACTACGATACAGTGTCGTTATAAGCTAAATAGATAACAGGGACTTAAATTTCTACTTAGAATTGAACACTGTAACCATCGGTTTTTTGGTACTGCAACTATTTTTAACTAAACAGAAGTCATATTTCCCGTTAAAGAATACTTAAAAAAATCCGGACAGTCACAAAAATCCGCCTGGAATTTCTTCCAGGTAAAGTTGTATTTGATCACCTCGTGTATATCCACACAATTGTGATAATTTTTAATATCCCCTATATTGTAATCAGCCATTGTTAAGTGTTGCACAAAGATTCAAAACATCTCTTAAAACTTTCTAAATATCGCTATTTTTTTAACTTATAACTGTAATTGTTTTTTTTTTGTTATACTCGAGTAACTACACTTTCATTTTTCACTGTGACTCAAATTTGGAATAATTCAATGCCTAAATCTCTAAACCAATTTTACTGACGATAAAATATTTTTTTCAACTACCAACATAGCGTTTAGGATCATATCTAGTTTGTTATAATATACGAATACGATTCAAGACACGAGAGATTTTTTTTTCATTGACCCAGATATTAACGAGAGATGTACAGTAAATACACATTCGATGCTAAAAGATTAAATCTCTGATTTAATCATTCCATTACCAGTTGTGGAGAGCACGACGAAGGTGGGATGAACTCCTTTGTTAGTGCTCTATTTACTATTTTAGAAGCCTTTTTTTAGGAATCTTAACCGATTCAATGTTCTTCACTTAAAGGACATTTTAAGCTTTGTTAAAGGTTCAAAGTACCGGAGTTTCTTCACCGGTATAAATACCGATGTTACCATATTTTTAGGATATAATATAATCTAACCTCACTTGCAAAAAATCCCTGTAGACCATTTAATGATGCATTAATGATCATAAGCATGCATTATGAAATATTTATATAGGTGTGAAGGGTATAATACTTGGAATTTATTTTCATTTTGTAAATATTTTCTTGGCTAATCATTAAAGAAGATCGCGTGAACATTTTTTATTAATACACTGATATAAGTATAAAGTTTGCAAACATTTTTTTGACTAATCTCCTTGTTAATATTTCGTGAGTACTTTTTTTATCGTATACACTGAAATAAATGTAAATCGCTTCAAACAAAATTTCACTTTAATTAACTGTCTACCTTTAAAATTCGCACAGTGATGTCCTTAGTAACGTTTCGTGGACCACAAAACAAACTGGGTCAATTGCACACTTTTGTCATATTTCATTCAACAGAACTTAAAGTTATAAAGCCACCAGAAGTGTGTAATTATTATATTCTGGATCTATTGTTCTCTTACAAAGAGTATTTTTTGACATGAGCTGCCGTCAACAAAAGTAAAAGGTTAAAAAATTAAGTAAGAATAAAAGTAGAAAGTCAAGAATAAAACTAAAAGAAAATTTTTGAAGTCAACTCAACAGTAAAAAAGAAGAAACAGAAATTAGTACAAGAAACAGAAACAGAACGGAGGTCTTAACCTTACCGTAATTATCAACCCAATTTTAGACTAAATCTACAATTAAACGCAGCTCAGATGAACCGGAGGGAGAGAACCGACCGACCATTCATAGCAATTTTCCACACTGTTTCACATTTTCATTAATCAGTCGTACAACTGTTGTTTATTATACTTTTTTTTTTTTAATTCTTGTTATTGCCCTTTATGTCTTCATACCATTCATTCCGATATACTTCTTATTTTAATTGAAGTGTTTTTCTTATATTTCATTGCAGTTTTGGAGTGAATTGTTATGCTAATTACAAGCTGTAGACCCGCAAAGGAGAGTGAGCCAAAAGCTTTACAACAACAACAGCTGCAACAGTAATAGTGAATGAAACAAAAGCGATAACAAGTAAACTAAGAGCAGCAACAACAAAAACTACAATAACAAGCGCACAACAACAAATGCTGACATTTACAAGAGCTAAAACAAGGACATTAATTAATCACAAGCTTAACCCTACACTCCTAAAAAGCAAAAACAAATGCAACAACAGCGAAGACACTCAGAACAATATCAACAGCAAGTACAACAAGAACAAAAAGCAACTGAAGTAAAGTGGTTAAAAGCAAAAAGGCGATAAAGCGCAACGAGCGAAACGAAGCGAATTTATAATTCAAAGGGATTCGGTCGGTGCTCATATCTACCGGCCCGCCCTGCAGCCAGTACCACACCAAACCTGCAATTTACGAAAACAACTGTAGAATACCAACGCGCCCTAATTCGTGACCACTGAACGCTTTACAATTGCAATAGCAACAACAATAATAACAGCGCAACAATAGCAATAGCAATAGCAAATAACAATAACAATCATAAACATAAACGCCAACAAATAACAATAGCAACAACAATAAAATTAATATAAAAAAACAACAACAAAAGCATAAAAGGAAAAGCGCAAAAGCATAAAATTGTTGTTTCCTTAGCTTGGACTTTCTTCTTCTTCTTAGCAACGTTGCCAGCTAAGTTTATTTGTTGCAATAGTAACGAGAAGAGCACAGTGTTGTGTGGTGGGTGGGAACGAAGAACGTACAACGTAAAGTGCAAAGAAAAGTTTAGTAAAGCCTTTTACGATTTGTACGATAGATAAAAATTTATGCGCACGTACGATTTTGTGGAACGTGTTCACCATTTCATTGACAGACATTAAATCGACACAAAACTATGGCATACAACGAGCAGTGCTCGGAACTACTCACTCATCGTCCTCATAGCACACAACGTAGAAGGAACGTGTACAGCATGCGCACTACATGGACCATGTCGCTGCTGCTGTTGGCTGTCTTCTTACTGTCAGTACATTCCACAGCTGGTAATTCGGATTGGATGCAGAATTGCGGAGCTTGCCATTGTAATTGGAATTCAGGCAAAAAGACAGCTGATTGCAAGAACCGAGCCCTCGCCACCATACCAGATGATCTTAGCAATGAGATGCAGGTCATTGATCTGTCCAATAATTTAATACCGGAATTACGACGGGAACAGTTTATTGAATCAAATTTACGAAACTTGCACAAATTATTTTTACGCAATTGCACCATACAAGAGCTCAATCGAGATGCACTTAAAGGACTGCCAATACTTATCGAACTGGATATGTCTCACAATTTTATACGCGAACTGCATTCAGGTATCTTTAATGAACTGATTAAGCTTAGGAGTGTTGTTATGAATTACAATGAAATCGAGGTGCTCGAAAATTATCTCTTCGTCGATTTACAATTTCTCTCGCGTGTAGAATTCAAAAATAATCGCTTAAAACGCATCGAGATACATGCTTTTGGTCTGCTACCCACACTTTCCAGTGTTTATTTAGAGTCAAACTCTTTGACGGTGCTACCGAAAGAAATTTTTACGCGTGCGACTAAACTAATGCATCTCTCACTAGCACAAAATCCATGGAATTGTACCTGTGAATTGAGGGAATTTCGTGATTTTGTTGTAGATCTTCGTTTGTATACGCCACCCACAGACTGTGCTGAACCACGTCAATTGCGTGGCAAACTATGGAGAGATATACCATCGGAAAATTTTGCCTGTCAACCACGCATTATTGGTTCTGTACGTTCATTTGTTGAAGCACAATCTGATAATGTTACACTTCCATGTCGTATTAAGGGGACACCACGTCCAAATGTTACTTGGATTTACAATAAGCGCCAAATCAATCCAAACGATCATCGTATCAAAATACTCAACTCAGTTGAAGAGACTCGCTTGGATATGATGCAGAATGAAAATGTTAATGTGCTAACCTCAGAATTGCGTATTTTCGGTGTGCGTGCTAGCGACAAAGGTGCTTACACTTGTATAGCTGATAACCGTGGTGGGAAAGCAGAGGCGGAATTTCAATTACTTGTCAACGGTGAATATTTCGGTGCTATTGATGGTACGTCTGGTGGTGCTTTAGGTACTTCAACCACTGACACGCACTCCAATGTGCTGCTTATAATTTGCCTAATTGCTATTACCTTGCTATTGCTGCTCATCATTGTGGTCTTAGTTATATGCTGGTATTGTAGGCGTATCAAAACCTATCAAAAGGACAACACAATGATGAGCGAAAATGGCTTAATCTCCACGAAAATGGAAAAAGCACACAACGGCTCAATGCTTGAAGGATCTGTAATTATGGAAATGCAGAAGAGTTTGTTAACTGAAGTTAATCCTGTCGAAAAGCCGCCACGCCGTACTGAATTGGAAAGTATCGATGGCAATGACGATGGTCATGAAATAAAGAAGACACTTTTAGATGAAACACCATTTGGTAAGTAAACTTAAGAATATTTATAATTTTTTTATAATTGAATTTAATAAAATTTAAACTGTGAGTTTTTGAGAAGTTTTTCAATGGTTGTAAACATTGTTTTCACTGTATTGTTCAGTGTAGAAGTTGAATAAGAACTTTTTTTTTGAGAAATTTTAATGATTGGAATTACTTATTGTTCAAAACATAAATTACACAAAACAAAAAATTTTAATTTGCTAAGATACATCCATTTTAAGATACGAGCATCTGTGTTAAATGGCATTAGGATAGTGAAGTGCAAGTATATTAGATCCGTATATTAATTATTCATAGTATTTAACTTTAAATCAATGTTATAGGCACACGCTGACATTGACATATTGCAAAACAATATGATTAATTACAATAAATCGGTATATTACTTTATTTTAATATAAATATTCAAGCTTCAATTTATTACAATCAAAAAATATGTAGTTTTATTTATCTTCCTGCTAACACCTAAAAAATCTCAGGATATTGTTGACATCATGCAACATTTGTTGAATTTTTTCTTTGCTAAGCAATTTGCTAAAAAATGGGAAGACCACGTTCTTTCATGAAAAAATATTCTTACTCTCATTGAGTTGCTCCGTAAGGATATCAATTTTGTAGTAGGTTTACTAACGGGTCACACCCGATGCTAGAAGATTAAATCCTTTTTTTTAATCATTCCATATGGTATTAATGGAATGGACAGTGAAAATACTTTACATCTTTCTTACTGTCCAATGCATGTTCGGTGTCGACTTACTATATTACGAGGTTCTCTTTTTAAAGATCTTTACTAACTCTTTTTTTAAGCATCTGAGTTTTTTGGAAGGTCAAATATTTGCCAAATATTTGAACTGGTTTTTAAGCATCTGAGTTTTTTGAAAGGTAACACAATAAGCGGATCCCTAGGAGGATCCCTAGGATCGATGATATAACCTAGCCAATTTTCCTCCTAACTTGCTATTTTGCAAAAATCAGATCATACAAACACCTATCAGCTAAAGTAGCCGATATAGCCATATAAAAAACTAACTGAATTCGTAAATACTTACTAAAAGTTGTGATAGGCAGACTTTGAACAATCATTTATTAGCGATAGTATTATGTTGACTCACTGATCGAGAATAGTCAACTTCCCAATACTCTATAATTTCTAAACCCGATATTTTCACCACCACAGTTTCCCAGCAATATAAAATGTATGATGGTAACAATGATGTCGGTCGCTAATGAATAACAATAAACACATTATATGAACGATGTCAACTCTCTCAAATACTTAACAATGATTTGAGCACAACCATTTCTTAACGATGTCTCATATTGTGCTCACCTGAAACTCAGTGATATATGCATGACGCTATATATACTATTTTTGTTGAATGTTTGATTTTATAAAATGATTCTAAATCATGAGCAATTATGCAAAATTAAATATATTAACTGCAAAGGTGTTAAACCCATCGGCTTCTTGTAAGCACAAAACTTTGGGGAACATCATTCAATCATGTTGGGCCGTAATTTTTAAATACTTTCATATTAAATTTCAAAATAAAGATCTTTATTCTTCACATTGACGTACTTAAACATGATTTTAAAATTTTATATTAAATTTAGGTGTACGCCAATTGGCAGAGGTTATATGAAACACATGGTAGATTGATTTTACTTGAAAAAAATTGTTATCTTTTTAACCATAAAAAAAGATAATCCTAAACATTTTATAATATTTGTATGTACCTATCATATTGATATGAAACTTCCCAAGTTTTCCTACTTCTCTCATGCAATCATAATTAAAAATACAAATACCAAAAAGTAGTAAATAATCTTACTTATTTCTGATTGAAATTAAATTCTTGTTCATCACAATTTCAAAATAATTAAAATCAATATCCGATAGAATTAATATTTTGAAGGTAAATTTCAGCAATCAATTTCATAACTAAATGAATTGAGACATTTCGATTGTTGAAAACTGAAAGGAGACTTCAAAGTTCAATCTCAACAAATTGACATCAACGTAACCCACAAGAGTAATTGTCAAAATTTACCACAAATCAAGTGCATTTAATTTGCCTAGACTGTTTATTGATTTCTTAGGTTTAAATCATACTCTTTGAAAATAAAAAGCAAATTGAATTTCAGTTAAATTGCATTTAAAACGAATTCTGTTCCATGACAATAATTTCGATACGAAACTTGAAGATATTAAGTTAAGTAGCGCAGATGTCGTCATTGGTAACTGCTAAACCACAGCATTTTTCTATGCTGTGCCAGTCCAATTCACTAGATATTTTCCACTAACAGCATAAAGTCATAGAATAGTTTTTTAATTATTGCAGATACATTTTTTCAAATTGAATTTCGTTCTAACCATAAACGTACTTGGCATAAATCATCGTCGCAGCAACCTCAAAAGATTGCATAGCACTGAAATATTTCAGTCAAATCAATCAGCAGCGAGAGACATTAACACAATGCAAACCGCAAAGAAAAATGAAAATTCAGCACAAAATGAAACAACAAATCCGAGGGGAGACATCAACTTTTAAAGATTAATTGCTTTTAATAGTTTCGAATAAAATGATTTTCCAATACCCAATAACAAATAAATCCACTTGCCAGCACCCTACGCTTCAAGCTCCGCATAAGGTGGTTGAATAAGTACAAGAGGCGGGAGAAGCTAACAAATATTTTCAATTAAATTTTCAGCATGACGAAGTTGCACTTGATTGCAGTACCAATATTCGCCAAAATTTTCAATTTTTCACAATTTTTTTCAGCTTTGTTTTGGTAAATTTTTCGCCTTTTCATTAATTCCCTTTTTTTGTTTTATTTCATTTTTGTGCAGGCAATCACCCCCGTGACGATGAAACCCATTCAGTTGCGATGTCCGACACAATAGTACCACGTACAAGGCACACTTACATTGAAGATACATATGGCACCAGTCTGCCGCCTGATTTACTCGCTTTCCCCGCACGTGTGCCACCCACATCCCCATCAATGCAGTCTTCACAGTCCAATATACCGGAGCAGGTGATATATGGCATACGTTCACCGCCACTAGCCAGTCCTGTCTACGCACACATGACGCCACATGGCATCTATGGCACCACAACAATAGCTGCCGCCACACCCAACGGTTTCATGACACTACAGCATCCCAAATCACGTAATCTAGCACTAATTGCAGCAGCCAATAGTCGTCAACAACAATCGCCATTCGTGCCCGCACCTGTTGTCTATTCACCAGCAACAGCTGTGGTCATGAAACAGGGTTATATGACAATTCCACGCAAACCGCGTGTACCTAGCTGGGCACCTTCAACAAGCATAACACACCCAAATCAATTGAGTGAATTTCAATCACCCACATCACCAAATCCAAGCGAATCTGGTACAGCAACTACAGCTGAACTACAATCAGAACCCGTTTATGATAATCTTGGACTACGCACCACCGCTGGCGGTAATTCGACATTGAATCTGCATAAACCTCAAGCCGAACAAGCAACACGGTATACAATGCGCGATCGTCCGCTACCAGCCACACCAAGTCTCACTTCTGTGGCATCCAGTATCAATATGCCACTGCAACAACAACAACAGCAGCAACAACAACAGCAAAATCAACAGTTACAGCAACAATTGCAACAACAAACACCCACAGTATCAAAAATATATGAACCCATACATGAATTGATCAATCAACAACATCACCCGACCACAACTTCCGATACCGAACCACTTTATGGCACCGCCAGACATCATAGCGGTCTAACAATTGTACCAAGCATACTTAGTGGTAACAATGTCAGTAGTGGTAGTAATCCAATTGCCGTTAATGGCATGGAAAACAAAGCTGCGAAGATACCACCGCGTCCACCACCGAAACCTAAGAAGAAGATGTCGGTTACAGCGACGCGTGGTGGTCAGGGTAGCACAAGTCAACTATTCGACGACGAAGGCGAAGATGGCACTGAGGTTTAGGCAGTTTGACTGCAACCACCGCTTATTAACGTGCACCAACCGCACGGCAAACTTTTCAGCTGCCTTCCTAAATAACTTCTTCCTTCGTTATTCGTACAATGTTCCAGCCGAGTTTCTTTTCATCTTACCGCTAGTATCGTCTTCTTCCCTTCTTTTAAGTCTGCACTTTTTCACTGCTAAATTCAATTCGAAATTCCAAAACTCATGGGTGGGAGTATTTCGCATTGTTGTCGAAAACACTACCACCTGAGTGAGAAGTAATGGAAAAAAGTTTTGAAGTTTTGAAACCGCGGCGTTGGTAAAGCTACAGCATTAAAGGGAAAAAGTAAGTGAAAGTAGGAGAAAGAAAAACGTATAACATAAAAAAAAAACGTAACCGAAAACACGAAAACAGATTTGAGAAAAACTAATGGAAAACTTGCGGTGCCACAGTGCAAATTGTTGAAAGGATTTTTAGTTAACTTTTTTTTTGTTTTTTGGGGGTTTTGTCCTTGTATTTCCACATCGGTTTGTTGCATATTTTAAGTGGTTTTCCACACCGGAAGTTTGTACTTGTAAAAATTTTTCACCGGTTTGCATATGGCAGGAGCTAGTTTATGGTTTTCATTTATTTTATTATATTTTTCTACACCTTTAGCAGGAAATTTAATTTACTGTTTTGGGTCAAAGCAGAAGTAAAAGTTTTTAATTAATAACGACAAGCAAAATTATTTCATTTAAAGTTTTCAAATTTTAAATTGATTGAAAAGTTTTATTTTATTTATTAATAATATTATATTTATATATGCCGTCTCACTTTTCGTTTGAATTGGTTTGTAAAAATACGTAACTTTTATCTTTGTGGAATTTCAAGAATGAGTTGTGCTATCATAAAAAAAAGAATTTTTTTATCTTTTTAAGGATTACTCTTACTATTTTCCGAAAGATAACTACTTTTAAAAAAAATAGGGGTGTGTATTATATTTAAGAACTAGATTCCACATATGCTACTATTACTGCTAAGGTTTTTTACGGTAATATCATTTTCTAGTGAAACTATTTTTAGGTTCAAGAGAGATGTTTTTTTTTTATTGAAACTATGACTACATTACTATAATGATTTTCATTATCCCAAATAATGAGCTTAGTATCCAAATGATTTAGTAAAAGTGCAAAGCGAGAAAAACAAAATATATTGGCACTGCTATTATATGACTGGGTTATAGAGCCCTTTTTTTCAAGAATAGGAATATTGCATTTTATTATTTTTTATTGTTCCTGTAGTGTCTCCATTGCCGAGAAAGCTTTATCTTTCTTATCCACACTGACTTCCAAACGAGTTCTGCATAGATACTTGCTGATAATCTAATCGCAATAATCGCAATTTTAATTGTTAAAATCTTCACCTATAAAACTTGATGTGAACAAATCGTCAATAATAATATTTCAGCTAAATGAGTCGAGCCCTATATTGTACAAGCAAGAATTATATTATTTTTAGGTTATAAAATAACTCGACACTCTTTTATTAATTTATATTTTGACAAGCGGGCAATATATCAGGTTGTCTCTAATAGTAGAGCAATGTATTCTTCATAAATTAAAAGCTCTCTTGCGTTTGGATATATAATATAATCATATTTTTTTTGAAAACTATATTTGAACTAAATGAATTTAGACAAGTAAAAACCACTTTGATACCCCCTTTGACTACGCGTTTGTTCAACTTTTATTAGTTTACTGTTAAAAATGCCAACTCTTGACAGAAATCAATTAATCTCCCTTGACAATGGGAAATCATAGCAAATCCTATGTACAATTCTTAGATGTTACGCAAAAAGGTTTTGAATTCTCACTAAGTAACTTTTACTATGTTACTTCAGATATAGATGTAGCTACTAGGGCAGCACATTTGATCTCATAAACATGCCTTAAAAGAAATGAATATTCAGGAAATTACTACTCCTGCGGCATTAGATGGTAGCAGTAGCAACTATTATTTCAATAAATATTTGTTTGTCTCTATTTTTTAAGCACGTTAATGATGTTTGTTTATATTTTTTAATGCATGACAAATGTGAAAGCAGTGCGTTAATATATGAGCCTAAAACGGGTATTATACATCATTCACTGTCAACAATATTTTGAACACTCATCAATAAAACGATATTTCCGCTTCAACGATTTAAAACAGAATCTAATTTGCATTGATGCCGATTGTATACTTTGCTAAAGACTTGGCTGAAATTTCGCATTTCAACGCACCAAGTCAATATTCAGGAATGATGTGTAATACCCGCTTAAAGTAGACAATTTATATATCACTCAATTTAACGCACAAAGAAATCTTTATTTGATCTCATATAGTTTTTTGTATTCATAGTTTCTTGCATCGTGCTTTATATCTTATCGGTCGTTCATAATATTACCTTATGACCTACTGGTTTACCTTTTTAACCCAGAAACTTTTAGGTTAGGAAACAGTAAGTTTTTAATGTAAGAACAAAAACAATTTGCTCTGTTTTATATCTTTTAGCCTACATCCAGCTTATAAAGAAAGCCCAATTAAACATTTTGTTATATATGTTGTTTTATATCTTTTAACTAAAAACCTTTTACTCAAACTATAAAAATAACAGCAGTGTACACACCATAATTATGCACTTATTTTCACGAAAATATAAAACTTCAATGCCAACAAGTAAAGTAGTGGCAAACACGCATTTTATGCGAGAACCTCACAACACTCCGAGAGGCCTATAAGAATTACTACTCTCTTATACCGGTAATAAAGTCAAAATGACGACCACCAAAAAAAATAATTAAAATTCATTTGCAAAAACTTAATAAAATTTGACCAAAAAAAAAAAACTAAAACAAAAAATTAAATAAAAATCCTTTCAACAATTTAAAGCACTGGGAATAATCGCGTGACTTGTGTGCCAAAACGACTGATGTAGAAATTAGAAATTAAAGGAAATTATTATATTATATACAATATGCATAAGAGTATATAAGCGCTATTAATGTATGTATACATAACAATATGTAAAACTTCAGAAATATGTTAATAATACTAAAAGCCTATTATACACATCAACTATTTTGCTAAAATAATTGTAATTTTAATTGAACTTGTACTAGCTTTTCAGGCTGGATACTGGCAGTTTAGAAAGAATATAGAAATACATAGTTGTAAAAAAGAATTCTTTTTAATATTTTAATTTTTACTTTTATCATTTTCATTATTTTATCTTAGGCTAGCTAGAATTTGTACAGTAAGAATAAAGAGTTTTTTCTCCAAAACTATAGACTAACTATAAACTATAAAAATGTGTATATTAAAATAAATCGATAAATCTAATTAAATTAATTATAAATGCTATTTAAGCGGAAAGAATATAAAATAATTTTTCTTTATATATTGTCTATATATAGATTTGTATACTTATAGCTGTTATTATTAAGAAACTCATTAATTGTAAAATAATTATAAAAAAAAAAATTTTAAATATGCATAGAAGTAAATTACATTTTTTTTTTCGCAGAGTATAAATGTTTTAAGAATTATAGAATTTTTAAAGATACGAAAGGTATAAAGTAAAACTATTAAATTTCAAAAATGTTTATTCATAAAAAAAAATGTTTAAAAAATCTTTAAGAAAACTACATCGATGTAAATGTACCATATAAATTATATATGTTTATATATATATATAAAGTTAGTTGAAATTTACATTGTAACAGAAAAGCGCATAAGATGAAATCAATCTTCAAAAAACAGGCAAATATATAATATGAGATACTTTTGTTGTAATAATTAAAGTAAAAATATATGTATGCATGAGGAATAACAATTACAAACCAACAATATCCAATTTGTTAAGAACAGTTTATAAAATTATACAACAATTTTTTTTTTTGTAAATATTTTGATTACTTTAAGTTTTATTAAGAAATCTGCAACCTGGTTTAATGATTGCTATACATTTATATGTATATGATATATGTAAATTATATTATGTGGTATTATAAATTACGTGACATGTTATATATATCTTATATGTTATGTGTATATAAGCATACATTGTAAAGTAAGTGACCATTGTAGATGTCTTCTGGTTCGAATGAAAACAAAAACAATTTATCAAACGTAATCGTAATAATTGTAATTGTTTGTTAAATAGTCGTTCTTTTCTTAAATATAAATTTTTATTTCTATATACAACCCCTTTTTTGCCGTTGCGGTTTGGGGTGGGTCTTACAAATCCTCTTCTATACTATGCCTATCGCTTTTCCTAATTTTGACTTAGTAACTGAAACTTTGTCTTCACATGGTAGCGCTGGTTCCAAACAGGAACCGCCTCAACTGCGGTTGTTGTTGTTACGTGAACCAACCACTTCAGTTGGACGCCCTCTGAACTATCTTGGCTGTTAACCTGCCATAGTTCATTTATGCAATCGATTCTTTTACTGTTAACGTATTGTTTATCTCAACCTTCTTTGTTGTTTATTGATCAAATTCTACATTAAAATCAAAATTTCCTGGTCTATTTCATGTTTTCCCAAAAAATTTTTCCTAAAACTTATTTTGCTAGGAATTCATATTTAAAAAAAAAACATAAACTAAAAATTTCTATGATTAATGTCGTAGAAGATATCTACAATGTCAAAAGAAAACAGGGTAACTAAACATGCAATAACGAATTTATTTATTAAGAATGCGGCCAGTATTTGCAAAAGAGATATCCCTTAAAGTGAAATATCCTTGCTCTATTAGTGCTTAGCATCTAAATACAAGCAAAGGAATAACACTCAAATAGGGAAAGCCCAAACCCTGCATAATAAATTTTAAATTAAATTTAGTAATAATTTTTTTATGTTGTTTATATATTATTTATACATTAAAAATTTTTTAATTTATTTACTTCAAAAGTATTTTAGCATGTAATTTATTAATTAAGTTAAATATACTATACAAAAAAAAAGATTTTGATTATTATGTTTTTATAAAAACTGCATTTTTATATTGTAAAAAATTATTTTAGTTTAAATTATACACTTTATTTATTTGTTCTACAATATTAATTAAGTTTTATTTTTTTTAGCTGTAACTTAATTATTATTTCATATATTAGTTTGAACTAAGATTAATAAATTTCAATTTATTAAGTAAATTATTTTCGCTCAATTACAAAACAAAAACAATTACAAACAAACAACAAAAGTATTCAAAATTGATTTATAATTGATAAATAATTTCAAAAATCAATTAATAAAAAAATTGTATTAATATATAGAGAACAATCATTTAAGTTAATTTACTTTATATAAAGCAATTCAATTATGAAATAAGTTTGAATTTATATTTAAGTTTTAAATTAAGTACAATTGTAGTTAGTTCCAGTTTATATGCTCGCATAAATTTTATATGCAAGTTTTTAATATATTTTTTATTATATAAAATATATGAAAATAATTTAAACTTGTTTTTTTTATATTTCACATACAATATATATATAAATTAAGAATTTTACAAAAATAAAATTGTAACATTTTTTTCTAATTTCGAATTTTAATTTTAGCTAAATTTAATTAACGTTTAAAACGTTATATTTTTATAATTATAAGTGTAAAGATATATATATAAATATATGTATATGTTCAAATTAAATGCAGTTTTATATTG